TCTAGGCCAGGAACCCAAGTTAGGGGACAAAGAGAGAAGGTTCACAGAGGGCTGTGGCTGGCCCAGTGACCCCGAGTTCCATTATACAGGGCCTGTTTCCAGGCTTTTGAAATGACCTGGGGCCTTGACCATCAAGACCACAGTGAGGACAGCAGGAGTGGCGCCATCAGCCCCCAGCCCAGCCCCTGGGCAGGAGGCAGAGAGGCAGGGACAGCCCCTCCCCACTGCTCCAGGCTCCTCAAGGCCATTTGGGCGTCATGGCAACACAGGCAAGAAGCGACTTCCCTGGCAACCAGCGTCCATCTGGTCATGGTTCCTGTCTGCGTGGCCGGGAGTTCCGGCTTCTAGCCAGGTCCCTGACCCAACTCAGCACAGACAGGGCCCCTTTCCGGCACAGATATACCAGAGCTCAGACTCAACACGGACCTCCCCAGGCCCACCACAATTCTGGAGACTGACGCGGCTCACACTGGCCTATCTGATCGAGCTGCGGATCCAGGGCACACCCTCTCCCTCTGAGAATCCCCCCATGGGACATGCTGTGCTCAAGGCCATACACCAAGGACACAGGGAGAGGTGAGGAAGTTTCTGGGTGGAGGGGCCTTCGGGCTGGCTCTGAGAGACCAGCACACTTTCCAGAAGGGCATGGCCCAGGGAAAAGAGAAAGGTGCTTCTTGAGTTTGGGGTCTTCAGGCTGAGAAGGGAGGTGCCTGCTGTAGAGGGTGGTGGGAGGACACCAGGGCATCCGGGGTGCCACAGGCAGCCCCTCAAGGCCACCCAGGGCTCACAGCCTGGGTTGAAGACCCCAGCCAGCTGTCCACCTATGACTTTTGTCATCATCACAGGGGTGACAAGTCTCCATGAGGACCTCTCCCCACTGAGTATCCTAGGCACCTGCTAGGCACCTGGCAGCCTGGGGACACAGAGAACAGGACACAACCCCACTCATCATAGGCCACTTCACCTCTGGGGTCCTCCAAGAAACCTTCCTTAGCCCCCACCCACACCAGGATGCCCCATGGGGGACCCTGAGCTGAGCACTTCCTGAGACCCATGAAACTCCAGTGAAGAATGAACAGGGCAGAAGACTGAGAGGGCCCTCAAACTGGCCCCTCCCTCTGGTGGCTGAGCAGGCATCCGGCTAGGCAGACAGCTCATGCAGACCCCAGGCCCTTCCGGTCCCTTGTACCCCCAGCCAGAGCCTGTTGGTATTGGGCAGCACAGACCCCCCCCCAGCTCTAGAAACACAGAGGGGTGTCACGTCCAGCTAGGCATGGTGTAAGTGGCCTTCCCCTGGTGCCCCCTGCTGTGTTCACCCCACGTGTCTCTCCCCATGAGAGACCACCTGCAGACAAGGGATTTTGAGAAACTTGTTTAGATAGGAAATGTAGCTGACACAGCAGGACAGCCTGGGTGTGGCCAAGGCAAGGGTAGAATGGGACAGGGTAGAGTGGCTGGCAGTGACCTCACCACTGATGTGAGGGAGTAAGTATTCTGAATAGGCAGGGCAGGCTAGCAGGTGTAACCGGGCACTATCTAGGCAGAGTCCCCAGGAGTCCCCCACTCCAGACCCCAGAACTTCAACAGCAGATGCTGCCCAGAGACAGAAGGACTTCCTGCCGGAAGATGACCTGCTGCTCCAGCTTTCTAGAGTTAACATGGAGAAAAATGTGCCCATCCACTCTGCCTGCCTCCCTTATAAACAGAAAAGAAAGAAAACCAGAGAGTTGAGGATAGTTGTCTACTGGGAAGTCCCCAGGCCAAACAGGCAAACAAAAATAAACCATAGGGGAGAGAGAAGATACAGACAGCAAAAGAGTCCCCTCTCTCCAAAACCCACTTGATCCCTAAAGGAGAACAGGATGCTCTGAAATAAGAACAGGAGGCACTCAAGGAATAGTAGAGATGACTTGGAAATTAAAAACATGACTGCTTGGATTCAAAACAGGTTTTTAAAAAACAGAGTGTGTGTTAGGATTCAAGGAAATCTACTCACAACTGACAAAGACCTGTAGAAAAAAGAAAAGAACTCATAAGATCCATCAAAAAGGCCCAACATCTGACTGCTGGGAGTTCCCAGGTGAGCAGAGTAAGCAGAAGAAATTTTATCCAAGAAACATGGAGCCTCAGGGTAGAACAATCTCACTGAGGAAATACCCTCAGTCACCACAAATTCCCATAGCTATAGGGGACAGAGAAGACACCAGCAGGCTGACCCTTGAATACCCATGGGGAAATGTCCTTGGACCTGATTTTCTCCCCAGCATCCAGCCAGCATGAGGTTAGAGTTAGATGCTTCTAGACCTGTGAGGCTTTTCCTATCTAGTCCCAGGTGACAGACCACTTACTCCAAAGCCCAACAGTGAAAATAACTGTGATGTAGCCTGGCGCTCAGTGGTGTGTGGTCTGAGACTTGGCTGGCCCTAGGGCCGGCTCTTTGGGGACCAGATAGGACAATCTCTCATCTTGCAGCCCAGCTCAGGCCTCCTGGTTGGAGGGGAGTCCTCAGAGCTGAAAGAGAAGTGGGGCCCAAGGTATCGAGACAGCTTGAGAAAGCTCAGTTAGTAGCCCACTGGCCAGAGTCTAAGGCCGGCCAGAACCAGGGAGTGCAGAGGGGACCTGTTTCTGATTAGCAGACATAGTCACATGCAGAGCACCAAGGATGTCTGGAGAGGAGAGACAAGTCACTTCCACCACACCAGGGCTGAGCCAGCTTCCTGAGGGTGTAGACTGACAGACAGAGCCAAGAAAGGAAACACAGTGGCCATGAGGGGCAGTGGATCCATGGTGTGGTGGGGCACTGGGTGAAGGATGACAGCCAGACCAGGGGCCTGACTCAAGTGCCCCATCAGAGTGCTCTGCAGTTGCCAAAAGCCCCCCAGAGCAAGTTTGAACTTGGCTCTACCAGGAACAACTGTGGCCTTCAGCAAGGGATGAAAGGACTTCGGGCCTCAGTTTTCCCCTCACAAACAGGATATGAAGGGCACTTCCAGGATCCAGCATAAAGTTCAATAGATGGTCAAAAGATAATTTAGGAGAAGAAAAAACTCAGAGATACATTAGTTTTTAAAAAGCTAGGCTGTAGGCTCGGCGCCTATAGCTCAACCGGCTAAGGCGCCAGCCACGTACACCTAAGGTGGCGGGTTCGAATCCCCAGCCCGGACCTGCCAAACAACAATGATGGCTGCAACCAAAAAATAGCCGGGCGTTGTGGCGGGCGCCTGTGGTCCCAGCTACTTGGGAGGCGGAGGCAGGAGACTCGCTTGAGTCCAGGAGTTGGAGGTTGCTGTGAGCTGTAATGCCATGGCACTCTACCCAGGGGGACAGCTTGAGGCTCTGTCTCAAAAAAAAAAAAAAGCTAGGCTGTAGGGGGATCTCTCAGGTGTGACAAGGGGTAGGGAGTGTGCCTGGCTGCACCGGGCATGGGAAGCCCACCCCAAGAGGAACCTGAGTTGGGGCTGGGGGGTAGAATGAGACAGAGGTGGGAGAGTGCCTTGCTCTGGACACCTGTTTTGTTATTTGATATATTTTTTTAACCCTGTGTATTGTTTTATATTTTAAGGAAAAATAGCCACGGGGGAGAGGGAATGGAGAGCAGAGGAAGGCAACTAGGTAGTGGGACCTCAGGACCAGAGCTGGTGGGAGGGGCCCAGACTTGACTGCAGCCACAGCCTACCCCATTATGACCTCCCTGGCTGCACCCAGCCTTTGTGATGGTTGTCTGGGGCAGCCTGGGAGCCAGTGGGACCCCAGAGTGTCCTCAGTAAGAGGGTGGCAGGTTGGGCCAGGCCAGAGCCTGAACCTGGGGTCAGGAAGGGGTCACAGGGAGGGATGGAGGGGCCGAAAACCCTGGGCCCCTGCGGCCACTCCCACCCACCGTGTACCCCAGCCCCAGCCTTGAGCGGCCACGGAGGATGCCAGGACCAGCCCTGCCAGGGATTTGTAAGATGGCCCTGCCTGGTCCCCCTCACCTCTGCTCACTCATTGGAGCCTGAGAGGCCTTTCTCAGCCCCAAGGATAGGGGGTGGGGGGCCCAGGGTGGGGGGTGAGGCTGCCAAGATCTTCCTCTCCAGCAAAGAGGGAGAGACGTTGCAGTTGCAGCCAAGAGCGAGAAACCCTGAAGGGGCAAGACAAGTAGGGGCAGGGCTAGGGTGGGGCTGGCCCCTGCACTCAGGCCGAGAGCAGGGGGCTTTCAGGCAGGGGGGCTCCCCCCCAGCTCAGGGTCCAGACCTTGCCCATGCACACCCCTGCCGCCCAGGGGTGTGGCCCCTGCCTCACCCAGGGCAGTCCCCTCCCCGCTCCAGGGCCGACCGCTGGGGTCTGCAGAACAGTCCTTTCTCCACCTGGAGCAGGAGAACCACAGCCTGGTGAGGCGTTGCCCGGGCAGTGGGCCCTGTGCCCTTCTCTCAGGGCATGGCTGTGATAGGCATACCCTCTGTGTCCCACCTCCAGAAAAGGCACAACCATGACCTTCGGGAGCAACTGGGGGCCCTCCTCGGGCCAGGGCAACCGTTCCTGCCCCTGTGTCCTGAGCACTCCAGCTGCACAGCCCTGGCCTGGGTAAGTGCAGTGTGGTGGGCTGGTGGAAGAGATCCTGGGATCCCACGCAGCATGTCCCTGTTAGTCCATGGCCTTGAGTCTAAACTGAGGCTCTCCCATAGTCCCCTGAGCCAGCTGGCACCCAGACCATGGAGGACAGGGCTCCTCTGCAGCTGCTGAGGCAGGAGCTATGCCGGGGGCATGAGGCCTTTGTGCAGCAGTCCCAGGTGGGCCTGGGGAAGGGCTGGGGGAGGGTCCTGTGTGCAGCAGTCCCAGGTGGGCCTGGGGAAGGGCTGGGGGAGGGTCCTGTGTACAGCAGTCCCAGGTGGGCCTGAGGGAGAGGCTGTGGGGAGACCCTCTGTACAGCCATCCCAGGTATGCCTGGGGGAGGGCTGGCCACCTTGCTGTCCCTCTGGCAGAATGAGTTGCAGCAGATCCGACTGTCCTTTGAGAGGAAGAAGATGGCCATCACCGAGGTGCCCACCTGGCTGGAGTGGGAGGAGGTGCTAGGGGACCCTCCTGTGGGTCCTACTCTGCATGTGTGACCCTGCTTCCCCTGTCCCTAGGTCTGGGATGGTGTGGCTGAGGTGCACATGGCCCTGAACAACCAGGCCACTGGGCTCCTGGTAGGTCCCCAATAGGTAACACTTGGGAGAACAAGGGGTGAGGATGAGAGGCAGGGACGGTGGCAGGGGGTCATGGGGAGGGCCCACCTTACCTACCTCTTCTGACCCCTAGAACCTCAAGAAGGACATCCGGGGTGTTCTGGATCAGATGGAGGACATCCAGCTGGAGATTCTGGGGTGACATGCAGGGGTGGGGATACTGAGGCCTAGACAGGGAAAGATGTCCTGGTCTAGATAGGCTGGACCTATCCAGGGGCCTGGGGCAGGGGCTGTCGGGGAAGGGCCTAATGTGCACCAATCCTGGGTGGTACACCCCATGACCCCCAGCTGTGTGCCACCAATCCAGGGGATGGTGCCAGGCTAAGGGTAAGAGGCAGGGGAGAGGGGTTCTGACAGTGCATCCCTGCAGGGAAAGGGCTCAGTGCCGTGCCCAGGCAAGGAAGGAGCAGCAGATGGCGTGCATGACGGTGAGCCCCACCCTACACCCCTCGTAGTGCAGGGACGCCTCCCACCATGGGCCCTGCTGGGTGGGGGCAGGGCAGGTGGAGGGAAGCCTCCCTGGGGAACAGAGACTAGAGCCATCCTGGAACATGAAGGAGGGCAGGAGAAGGTAAGGTGGGTGTCCCCTGACCCAGGCAGGATCTAACCTGGCTCCTCCCCAACAGAAAGGGAGGCCACAGCTGGGATGTTCCGAGGGCCTGACAAGCCAGCTCTGGTAGGTCACTGAGTGGGCAAAGCCTACCCCTGGGACCATCCCCACAGGCGCCCCTTGCCCCTGACCACCACCGCCCGCAGGCTGCTGGCACTGAGGCTGCTGCTGGGTGCCCTGCTGGCCTGCACCGCCGCCTACGTGTACGTGGTGGACCCTGCGCCCTTCGAGGGGCTGGTACCGCCCCTGCTGAGCCGCGCCGCCGTCTGGAAGCTCAGGGCCTTGCTCGGCCCCTTCCTGCGCCTCGAGGTGGACGACTTCCTGCCCTTCTAGGCCGGAGGCCCGGTGGCCCCAGCGAGGAGGAGGCCAGGTGGCCAGCGCTGCCCCGGGTGCCCAGTGGCCCTGCCGGCCCCTGCCCACGGCACTGCCACGCACGGTCCCCACCAGGAGCTTCGGAAAAGGGTGGAGGCAGGGTCTGTCCTGAGGGCTGGGCCTGCGGCTGGACATAGAGTTGTGACACTCATGGTCTGTGAGCTTGTTTCCATGGAAAGGAAGGGGGCTGGGGGCTCTATACCTCCTGAGGCACCCAATCTGGCAGTGGGGGTCCCCTCCAGAGGGCACTGAGCCCTGGGGTGTTGCAAGAGGGTCTCCACTGACAGCAACAGCAGAGGATCTGGGCTCCTTGGGCCTTGTCCCCTGAGCCATGTCCTGTCCCCACCCCAGGACCTCAGAGGTCAGGTTCTCAGTCCTGAATCTGCTTTCAAGTCCCTCAGGTAACCCCTCTTCCCTACTTATCCACCACTGCCCCCCATCTCATCCCCTCCCCAGGCCCTCATATAACCCCTGGACCCCACCATCCTTTCCCCTCCCCAACCCAAGGTCCTGGCAATGTCCAGGGCTCAGATGAGACCACATTGGTAGACAGAGCTGTGGAGATAAACACCAAAACTTTATTTGGGGAATTGAATTGGGGGGGGGTACCCTTTAGAACAATAGAGAATAGCTTTGTGGCTATCTTGTCCCAAAATGTAAGAAACAGAGCGGACCCCAGGACAGGGACCCTATGCATAAGGGCTGGCCAGGGCACCACTTTGCCCCGATCCAGGGCACCCAGGCCTAGTGGATTTGGGGACTGCAGGGCTGTGGGCCCTCTGGGCTCCCAGGTGCATCATCTCTGGGTGAGGGCAGCCCAGTTGGGGTGGGGCAGAGCTGGTAAGGGGGACTCAGCGAGCAGGTAAGAGGGCTGGCAGCTCACCAGGCTGGTGGCTGCAGGAAGTTAAGGCATCTGTTCCTGTGCTGGGGACAGGATGGGGGGAGTGCAGTGACCTGCAGGGCAACCTGAGACCCCCCCAGCCCAACCCACAGAGGCCTGGGCTCCCTAGGGAGGAAGTGGCTTCATCTAAAGTGCTTGGTCGGGCAGGGTGGCTGGGGCGAAAGTCTACTGGTCCCAGCAGCTCCAAGGCCACCGTCATAGGGTGTTGGCCCTCCTGCAGCAGGTTGGGGACTTCCTGAGGTCACACGGACACAGGGTCATGGGCCCTGGCAGGGTGGGAATCAGTGAAGTTGTGGCTGGTGGAGAGAAATCCCTCAGCCCATACCCAGCCCTGCCCAGGGTCCACAGCTGCCAGGCCTCCTGGGTCCCCAGCTGGGCTGCCTTGGGCTCCAGAGCTGCCTACTTGGCATTCTGCTAAGGGCCCGAGAGACTAGGGAAAAGGCTGGACGCGGCCAAGTGCAGGCGGCACATGGCCCCACGGGGGGGCACCCCGGGAGCTGGGCTCCAGGGGGCCCGCAGCGGTGGGCGGTCCTCAGGGCGGCCAAGGTGGCACAGGTGCAGCCCGGGGGGCACCCTGGGTGGGCCGCGTCGCCCCCATCCACGGCTGCAGGTGCCAATCCGCCCCCTGCAGGCCAGATCATCCATGAGAGAGAAGCAGAAAGTGCAGGTCAGCTTGGGTGGGGCTGCAGGCCGAGGCTCAGGGCACCTCCCTCAGGGGCCTCTGAGCCCCACATACCTCCTAGCCCCAGCCCTGAAAGTGTGGATCCCCAACACTCCCCAGCCCAGTCGCTGGCATTTGGCGGCAGGAGAGAATTCCAGCAGGTGTGTGGTACCTAGGGCCCTGGGCTGGCAGGTGCCCTACACAGCCATCCCAAACCCCCACATTCCTGGGTTCCCAGGTCCCCTTCAGGGGAACACTCCATTATGGCCAGAAATGACGCAGACCTGGCCTGAGAGACCCTCACGCTTGCTGCCAAAGACCCACTGGCAAGCCATTGCTTCCCGAGCCTCTGACCCGCTCAAGTCAGCAGGAATGTCCAGGCCTATGGACTCCGTGCACCAGGGCAAGCCAGCTGCCCATCGGAACCCGAGCCTATCCTCCCCAGCCCTAGGCCTCTGCAGCAAAAGCCCTGGTTTTGTCCAAGGAAAGAATCAAAATGACTCTTCTTCTTTTTTTTAATAAAATTATAGATATATAGATGTAGATATAAAAACATAAAACAGACACAACGCAAGCAGGTGCTGTCGTGTGCTTACTCTCAGGTCCCCAACTCCAGGGGAAGCACTGACCCCTCCCCGATGTGCTTTCCATGCGGCGTGTGCTGCCGCTGGGCCAGGGCTGGGGGCTCGAGGCATGCCGGGGGTGGAAACTATCCAGTCTGGCAGGGAGGGCCTGAGGGCTAGGGAGAGGGTTCCAGGTGTCACTCACCCCTGCGGTAGCATCTCCCTACACCTGCTCCCACCTGCCCTCTGTGGCCTCCCACAAGAGCATAAAGCAGAGGTTAAGGCTTCAATGAAAGGGGCAGCAGTGGCCAGAGTGCTAACACGTCAGACACAGCATAGCGGCTCAGCACACAGACATGGGGACACGAGCCCACTGGCCGGGCGAGACGGGACACATGGAGCTGGGACCCCCCCAACACAGCTAGCTGGTTGGCTGGCCATCTGTCCACCTGTCTGCCACAACCCAGAGTAGACTGGGCTGGACTCAAGAAGCACCATCCTTGCCAAGCTACAAGTTTCCATCGGGGTTTGTGAAAGGCAACGTGTTAGGAGCAGCCCAGCAGGGCCTTGGGTCCCAGAGCCCACAGGCTGTGCCAGGAGGGTGGCAGGGGGGCCTTGGAGCTTCTGTATGCCTCTTGGCCTCAGGGACCCATCTGTAAGGGAAGAGTGTGGGTCCTTAGGACATCAGGAACTGGCCTGGCTATAGCCTGGGGTACACAGGTGATGGAGTGCAGGCAGAGCCTGAGCAAGAAGGGGCCCTGCAGATGTAGTCTGGGGCTCCCTTGCTGCTGCAGCTGTGGGACAGGGCCTAGATACACAGCCCTGTGGCCCAGTGACCCTTAGCCCAGCCAGGGCCGGGATCCCGCCTTCCCCAAGAACAGACGAGTGGATGGACAGATGGAGGGCTTGGGACAAGCTGTGGAGGCGTGGTGGTCTCTCCTGCTGATGCGTCCACACTGGCCGAGGTGGCCTGCTGTCCCTGGGGTAGAGAAGTCGATGGGGGGAGGGCCGCTGGGGGTCCTGGTCCCTGTGGCGCCACAGCTGATGGGTGGTGGTCAGTCCTCACACTGAGATCTCATACGTGGTCCCACCCACGCCGGATACCTTCTTAACCAGCGTGTGCCGGGCAGGGCTGGCGGAGGGCCCCAGGGTGCCAGAGGCAGGCCCCAGCCGGGCCAGGCCTAGGGACTGCCCGTTAAGCTTACTTGGGGGGGTCTTCAGCTGAGGGTGGTCCCTGCATCAAAACAAGCACATACACGCACACACAGGGTGAACACAGGACCACACAGGGACACAGGACAGCGGAGGCAATGGGACAGAGAAGACTCAGATGTGGACTGGAGCCCTGGTTGGCACAGCCCTGCATCCCGGGGCCCCAGGCAAGCCCCATCTTCCCTTCTGAGCCTGGTGAGGGGTGTTGCAGAGCCTGCCCATGGAGGGCTGAGCATTAAGGGCAAATGGACGTAGTCAGAACTGCTACTGCCCTCCTGTTCCCTCAGTCCCACCCAGCTGGCACTGGCTCAGCCACTGACCTGAGCCCCTGGGCTCCATCCTAGGGAGGGAGCTGACAGACAGACTTCTGATGTTCCTGGGGCCACCCCACATCCCTGGCTGCTGTCCCCACCTCACCACCTAGAGGCTACCCTCTGGGTCTCAGGCTTCCCAGTTGTCACACCCACAACAGCAGCCCTCTTCCTGACATATAAAGACCAAATGGGCTCTAGGTGGGGTGGGAAAGCCTTGATTAGAACCAGACTGCTGAGCCCCCAGCCCCTTTGTGGCCAAGTGGCCCAAGCTGGCTCTACCCCCGGGGCTTCATCTGCCAACAGAAAATCACCAAGCCTGTCCTCGGGCTGTGGGGTCCATGTCCTCTACTGCCACCCTGCTGGGGGCCTGAGCCAGCCTGGACTGTCTGGACCTCAGTCTCCCCATCGAGAGTAGGGACACTCCTGTTCTGCAGACTACATGCCTCACTGAGGGCCAGGGTGTGGCACCCAGGACAGCATGTTTTATGGCAAGGTGCTGTCCCCAGCCTCAGCCTCCTAGAAATACGGCAAAGCAGGCTCAGAGAGAGCCCTGTGTAGACAGGGGCACAGTGTCCAGGAAGGACAGAGCCATAGCCAGGGAAGGCAGGGGCTGCTGCTCAGCACCAGCCTGAGGAAGCAGCCCGAGGACCACACACGTGCTGGGTCTGTGCCAGTTCCAGAAGAAACACAAATGCTCCTGCCCCATCCCCAGAGTGTGCCCAGGGAGTCCTTGGAGCTGGGCCATAGCCACAGGCTGGGGGTCTCAAGGCAGAATGAGGCCCACCATCCCTGCCCTGGCCTTCGAGCCACCCATAGGCCTCCGGGACAACCCATGAATACCCAGCCAAGAAGGGCCTCGTGGGCAGCTAGGAGGCTGCCCCACGCCAGGAAGCCCACCCACACCTCCAGGCACCCACCTTTGCATGGCCAGTGAGGGAGGTGGCTCCGGGAGGTCCGTGTGGATGAAGGCGACAGCTTTGGGGCCCAGGAAGGAAGGTGAGCGGGGAGTGCCAGGTGGGGAAGGCAAGCCCTGGCGTGAGGGCGACCTGTGTGAACCACTGCTGGGCCGGGTCCCTGCAGTGCTGTTGGCCGGGTCGGCCTGCAGGGAGGAGGAGGACGTCCGTGGCGCCCGGCTCAGGGAGCTCGACAGCGAGGACAGAGAGGTCTGCAGGGCGGGATTGCGAGCACCTCCAAAGCCAGGCCCCGCCATGAGGTCATCCCTGGAGCCATAGTGCAGCACAGGCCCACAGGGGCCCTCAGACAGCACACTGGCCTGCTGCAGGCTGTAGGAGCTGGGCGCGTCATAGACGCCCGAGTCTCCGAAGAGCGAGTCAGCCTGAGAGCGAAGCAGCCGCTCCCGCTCTTCCCTGTCCTTGCGCTCCTGGATGGATGCCATGATGGTCCTGGACAGGTTGTCGTAGCGCACGGGTGAAGGTTCCCGTGGCCTGGGGCCCAGAACAGGGCTGAAGCTGCAGGGTGGAGCCCGTGGTGGGTCGCCCACCGCCCCAGGGTGCAGGTAGGGTGAGCGGTAGCCAGCCGCACTGACAACAGAAGGGTGGGCTGGGCAGGCGTGGCTGCCGGGAGAGCCAGGGTTGAGCAGGCTGTCATAGGACAGGCTGCCATTGCGGTTCGGCAGTGCATGGGGGGCGAAGATGCCACGGTGGGGTGGGAGGGGCCCACCCTCTGAGCGCAAAGGCTGCAGGGCAACATGGTCCCCACCCCGCCGGCCTGCAGCCTTGAGGCTCAGGGAACGCAGGGCACCCGAGAAGGCGTCAGAGGCGCTGAGTGGTGGGGATGGTGGATAGGCTGCATGCAGACTGCTGGGCCCATAGTCAGGGAGGTCCAGGCTGGGCTCGGACACAAAGTCCAGGCTGTGGATGCTGTCATCCCCCAGGGTCAGGGAGTCAGGGCCTGGGACCTGTGGGGAGAGCAGCAGTGTCAGCTCTGCCTGCTCATTGTTCCATGTGTAGCCACAGGTATTCTGTACCCACAGGAGGCTGTGGTCCCAGGGAGGCTGAACCCACAGGGAGGCTATGGTCCCAGGTAAGCTGCGGTTCCAAGGTGGTTGTGGTCCCAGGGAGGCTGCACCCACAGGGAGGCTGAACCCACAGGGAGGTTGTGGTCTCAGGGAGGCTGTGGTCCCAAGGAGGCTGCAGTTCCAGGGAGGCTGAACCCACAGGGACGTCATGGTCCCAGAGGCTGTGCCCACAGTGAGGTTGCACCTATAGGGAGGTTGGGGTCCCAGGGACAGCACCTTGGCAGCAGGCACAACCCATATGTGGTTCAAGATGCTCTTGTCCCCTGGTTACCACCTGTCCTGGGCCCACCTCAGAGGGAAGCCAGGACAGAGTGGAACAGCATGGTAGCTCCTGGGAAGGCCGTGTGGGCTTGCTGCTGTCCACACTCAGGAGGGGATGAGGAAGCCATAGGCCACACCCATTACAGGACCATGGCCCTGAGAGCTGGGTCACAAAGAGCTCTAACAGCTACACAGTGACACGGAGCCTGTCTCCAAGTGCCCTGTGGCTGTCAAGGAGCAGCTCTGCAGCATGAGGCCAGAGTAGGCTGCTGGAGACACCAGGTTGGGCCCTTGGAGCCTACCCAGCCCCACGGCTGCCCCAGGGAGAGGTCTCCTCCAGCATCTGTGATTGGGGCATATTGACTTGGACTGAGGACAAAAACCTCAGGAACCTCAAAACCCAAAGAGGTGTGGCCTAAGTACATGTGGCCAAGCAGACCTGTTCTTCCATGGGATCTAGGGGCATACCAGGAAAGAGGTGACTGTGGGGCGGGCATCTGAGCCTCCCATCCCCAAGCAGGGACACCACACACCTGTGAGGCAGGCCCAGATTCAGTGCCCACCCAGGGCCCCAGGGGAAGGACAACAGGACATGGACCCAGGGGAGAGGCATCCCCAGGGTGGGCCCCTCGGGGTAGGTAGCCCTGAGGGAAGGATGGTGTCCTGGGAACACCCAGGGTTCTGGGTCATTCCTCAGGCTGTCCAGCACTGCTGACTGCTCCAGTGACCAGGGAAGATAAATACACTTTCTTGAACAAATTTCAAATTCTTCTGAAGACTTTCTGTGGGCCTTACAGAGTGACCAGTGGAATTCCAGGCATCCTATACACACTGCTCTGCAGGCAGCCACTGACCAGGCCTAGGGCAGTGTCAGCTAAGGGACAGAGACGCTGGACCAGGACTACCTTTGCCAGCTTCTTCCAGGACACCATGCCCTGCTGGCCGTAAAAGCCCCCAGCTCTCAGTGGTGACAGGCCAGGGTCCTGCTACACAGGGCCCTGCAGTTACCAGGGTAGGTGGGGCTTCTATGGGCAGGCCAGGCCTCCTCACCTGCTCGCCTGGTCCACAGAAGGGAGACTTGGGCCCCGTGGAGAAGGCTGGCCGAAACTTATACATGGCAGGCGTCGGGGGGCTGGTCCTCTGCACTGACAGGGCACTCTCTGGGAAGGCAGACAACTGTCAGACTGGGGTTAGGTGGGGGTTGGTGAGGATTGGCCTATTACTGCCCCCTCCCCCACATTTGGCTGCCCCCACCTCACCAGCACTGCCGGGGCGTGGTGTCTGTAGGTCACTGCTGAACGTGCTGGCATCTAACTTGGGGGGCAGGGGTGGCCCCAGGTCCAGTGGCTTCTCGTCCAGTCGGTCCAGGCTGCCCTTGGACTGGAAGGAGGTGGGTCAGTGGTGGGTGGAGTTTAGATGAGTTAGAGGTCTAACTAGACATGCCTTTTGCCCTTCCTGAGACCTAGGACCCCTCCCTAGAATTCCCCTTCTAGGCTTCTCCAGCTTATCCCCTTCCCCCACCCCAGCCCAGCCCTGGTCCCCACCTTGCTGCGGCTCAGGCTGGCCTTCAGCCCATTGTCACTGAGCTTGACCTTGAGCGGTGCTGCTCGCTCCAGGAGCTCAGGCCGGAGAAAGGGTGGCTTCAGGCTCACAGCCAGGGGCAGCTGGGGAGGCTCCACCACATACCTGAGTGGGCAGAGGGGTCAAGGGCCAGGCCACCTCCATGAACTCACTAGGGCAGGGCCTGCCCTACCTGGCAAGAGCCAGAATGGGCCAGTCTGAGGGACTGGGGCTGCCCACCCACCCATGGCAGAGACCCCCGTGCCGCCTTGCCTCGGGGCCTCACCGGGGAGCCAGGGGGCTGCATAGCACGTGCTCCACGTTCCCACAGCAGCCTCGGGTAAAGGGGTTCACACCCCCGCGGAACTTCCCCGTCACCTGTGGACATGGGACCCTCAGCCAGCCTGGCCACCCAGGGTCCAGACTAGACGAGCAGGGCACATTTGGGGCAGCTGGGGTTCTTCAGAGCTGGTCTTTGTGGGAGGTGCCTGGTAGGGTCAGCCCAGGGGTGCCCCTCACTCAGGTCACCCTGCATGTCCCTAAGTCCCAAGCGGCTGCAGTGTCTGTGGGCAGGGAGCATACAGGAGACCAGGGCAAGTGTGGAGCCTCCTCCTAGCACAACTGTACCAGCTACCTCAGGCAAGGGCTCCCCCACACTGTCCCAGGCAGCCTCAGCCCTTTGCCCACTGTGGACGCCCCACCCGACCAGGGTTGCACCTGCTCATTGGTGGTGCGTCCCCTAGTGACCAGCACGACGTGGAAGCCAGTGAGGCCAATGACAGGGATGAAGAAGAGGCCGGCCACACACATGACAGCCATGCTAGCCTGTTAAGGCCAATGGTACAGGTAAAGACACGAAAGACCCTCATAGTGGCATGGAGCAGGGGTCTCAAACACCCTCCCTGCCCATCTGAGGATGGTGACACATCCACTGGGGGTCCCTGGGCAGCCAACCAACCCCTTTGAACCTTAATTCCCCTGCAAAACACATTCATTCCCAGCACACACCGCCTCTGTGAGCGGCACATGGGAACCAAGGATACGTGATGGTGGTGTGAGCAGCTCCCAGCCCCTCGGCGTGGTTCAGCACATAGACCAGGCCAAAGGCCACGACGCCCACCATGTGTGCACTGAGCGACAGCAGGAACAAGAAGAAGTAGCGGTAGTTGCGGCGCCCAATGCAGTTATTGACCCAGGGGCAGTGGTGGTCAAAGTCCTGTAGGAGTGGGGCGTCAGGGCATGGGGCTGGCCAGGGATGTGGGGGCGGGAGGAGTGTGGGGCAGTGGGCAGTCACCTCCACGCAGTTGTCACAGACGCTGCAGTGGGAACAGCGTGGCGGGCGGTAGAAGTGGCACGTGGCACACCACTTCATGCGGACCTGGATGCCGCGCACGTCCACATTCTTGTACAGTGGAGCCCGGAAGTCATCCTCCTTGTCCTCGTCCTCGTCCGCTGCAGACCAGGGACCAGGAAGGGGCTGGGAAGGTGACTTTCCTGGCAGGAGAACCCCTCCCCAGCTTCTGCCCAGTTTCCCCACCGGGAATCCCTAAGGTGCCTCCAAAAGTGAGCACATGAGCTGCCTCAGCAGCCCTACCTCGGGGGAAGACACCAGGGTCCATGAAGGTGGCCATGCTGAAGTTGGCCAGCACGAACAGGAAGATGATGCCATTGTAGACAGGAACAGCTGGGGACACAGCGCGTGTCAACCATGGGCACCTGCAGTGGGCAGCAGGGCGAGAGCTGGGCCTGGGGTTACAAAGGAATGTGGGGGCACATGGTGTGGCCTGCAGGGCCACCATCAAAACTTGACAAGGTGGGGGACAGTGCTGTGGGCCCATCAGGAGACCTCGGCCATTCTGTGCTACACCTCTGTCTCACCCTCAGGGCCTTATGCATCTTGAACAGTGTCTAGACTCCCCAGGTGCCAGCTCTGACCCCACACCGGCACCCCTCTGTGGCTATCTGGAACACAACTCATAATGGAGGAAACTGAAGCTCAGAGGCCAGCTGGCCAAGGCAGGGCACATACACCTTTTCACCCTAGCCTGACTATCCTGGAGCCACCTGCCATGGGGGACACAGACTGAAGGCCAGAGCCCAGGATGAGAAACACATCTGCAGAGCCTACGTGTTGCAGGGGACAGCGGAAAAGTGACCTACTAGGCAGCTCTGGCCAACCCCAGGACCCTGTCACCAGGGAGATTTGGGGATGTAGGAAAGTCCTGCGTCAGTAAATGCATAGGGGGGGCATATCTTTTTTTTTTTTTTGAGACAGAGCCTCAAGCTGTCCCCCTGGGTAGAGTGCCGTGGCATTACAGCTCACAGCAACCTCCAACTCCTGGGCTCAAGCGAGTCTCCTGCCTCCGCCTCCCAAGTAGCTGGGACCACAGGCGCCCGCCATAATGCCTGGCTATTTTTTTTGGTTGCAGCCGTCATTGTTGTTTGGCTGGTCCGGGCTGGGGATTCGAACCCGCCACCTTAGGTGTACGTGGCTGGCGCCTTAGCCGATTGAGCTATAGGCGCCAAGCCGGGGGGGCATATCTCCATCCTGCCAGCCCCTTCTTTTTGTCACTTTACTCCCCAGATGGCCATACAGAACAGTTGGGGGCTCTGGAGACACACACCACCCCCACTCTTTCCATCTCACCACTCTTAGCACCTGGTTCCAGGACCGCCCCCTCTCCCAGAAGCCTTCCAGGACTTCCGTTCCCCTCTACAGCCTCCCTGCATGGGGCTCACATGCCTCCCTGAAAATTGCCTTCCAAGCCCTACAGGAGACCTACCAGGAGATCCACCAATCTCCAGGCCACAGAGCCTACAGTAGGTCCCTGAATCCACCCACTCTGCTGCTGAGAAGCCCTCTGACCTCAGACTCCCCATCTCTTGCCTGAGTCCCTGAACCTGCTTCTGTGACATGTGCCACACAGAGGCTCGTGCCCTCCCCATACCTAGACCATCTGTGGAGTGGAGGGCTCAGTGGGGATCCCCCCAGCAGCCTGACCATGGGGCCACCAGCAGGGGACAGGGCCCACGCACTGCTTGCCACCCATTGCTTGCAGCCTCACTGCTGCACCCACACTGGCCTTGGCCGGGAGCCAGCCCCGACACCCCGGCAACCACCTCCGCGGCAGCAGAACTTTGCTATTTTTAGTGGAAAGCGAGAGGCTATTTAAAGATTCCACTTCCCACCGTAGCAACCCTCAGCGGAGCCAGGAGCCACACATTACTCTGCCTCTGGTCCAGAGCTCAGCCCGTGGAGGTGGGCACCGGGCATGAGGACATGGGCTGCGTCCACATGGCTCCTTCTTCTGGGAGGACCTTCCCCACCCAGCCCTGCTGCCCAGAGCACAGTGTTTCCTCTGCCCTCCCCAGCTCTGCCCACATACAGGCAACACTTAATGGCAGCAAGGACTGCAGGCCCTGTGGCATGGCATGGTCAGCACAGTAAGGCGGACGGGCAGGTGAGCCCAAGAGAGCTGCCCAGTCCTCCCGGCAGAGGTGGGGCTCATGGGCTGCCTGGGCCACCTCCAAAGAGGGCTACATTTTCTGTGCAAGATAAAAACTCAGCTCCCTATTCTACAATTATTGGGAATTTCAGGACACTGAGAGCAGAGCATTAGACCAAGTGTGGCCCGTCATGCCTGTGGTACCAAAATACTCAAAGAGAGGAAAGGGCCAAGGGGTCCCAAGCTGGCAGGGATGGGGAGTTGGAGAATGGACACAGGCCCACACCATCCCCGTAAGGTGCATGTGTGCTTGGCCTTCCCAGCCACAAGGAAGGGGACACTGCTGTCCTTCCCATGTTACAAATGAAAAGCTGAGTGTAGAGGCCAGTGTGCATCATGCTGGGCTTCCAGCCTGCCTCCTGGTGCTATTCAGGGAGACAGGGCCTGAACGGCACACCAACCAGAGTTCCCCACCAGCCCAGGCAGGCTGTACTACTATGTCCTCCCTGGGCCCTGATGTCCCTCCAACTGAGATGTGCCTGGGGTGGGTGTAGCTGCATGTCAACAGGGGCCCATTTGGATATTTGCACTGTGACTAGATGGTGTGCACTGAGGTGCTGGAAGTCCCTGCCTGGCATGGGTGTCATCTGCCTGAATGCCCACCCATGAGGGCCTTGTGGAGTCTTAGCCAGGCCCACGTAGTGCAATGTGCATAGTTAGGGAGGCTTGGGAAACCTAAGCCACAATTTCTCCATCCCTACCCCTAGGCTTGACCCAGGCATTGCCGCAGGGGCCTCCTCCCGGCTGATGGGGACTGGCTCACAGACCAGCCTGTCAGGGTCCAAAACGTAGGAAACACATGGGTTCAGGGGGAGATGAAGATGCAGGCATGTGCACACATAAGTGCACAAACATTCCAGGCAAGCATGTACAAGTATGCTTGTGTACGTGACATAAGCACAGATACAGAAGCATGTTCACACGGAAACACAACCTGTTTAGTCCACAGAAGACACATGCACACACCATCATGACTGCATGTAAGATGCAGGTACACATGTGAATGCTCCCTGCACACCTGTGCACACAACAGTGTACATGGGTGAACACATACTTACACATTCGTTCACACGTACGCACATGTAAACACACATTCACAGTCACCCCTCTCCCTGCACTGCCCCTAGCCCTGCCCAGGTAAGGCTGCCAGCCCTGGGCTTTCCGCCCCTGTAGATGGGGCACATATAGGATACCCGAGGACATGAGAAGACATCTGAAGACAGGCAAGGGTACATGGGGATGCTTGAAGACACACATGCTCCCACAGGCAGGACCTGGCAGACAGTAGAGTTTAGTCCATGCTCGTGCCCATCCTAGGGTTGGGAAGGCCCCTCTGCCTATGGGGATATCACCCTACTCCCACCCAGGCCTGACGGTGAACACTAGGCCAGCCCTGCCAGGAGGGTTAGGCAGAGACAAGCAGTACCCCCTGGGCCAGAGAGGGGTGTCTGGCTGGCCATGTTTTCCTACGAGACCCTCTGGCTGGCTCTGGCTGGGGGGCCCAGCTCTGAGGCTTCAAGCCCTCCTTCAGGGCCACAGGCCAGGACATGCGCCACCAATGTGGGCCCCACCCGGCTAAGGCCCAGAGTCGGGCCTGGGCCCGCAGGGAGACGCCGCCCAGAGGAGGGGGGGTGGCTTAGGGGCAGAATGTCCGCCACAGCTAAATGTAGAATGGAAAATTTCAACTCAGACGTTTTCATTTAAATCAGGTTCTTCATTAGCACTGCTGGCATCTGAGAGTGACACTCACCCACAGGGCTCCCAGGACCAGTGGGTCAGACTGGGGAGGTCCCGGGGCTCACAGTACCTGCACCCACCTGTCCGATCCCTGAAGACACCTAGGCAGATAGGGAAACTGACGCTCAGGAGGCCAGGGTGCCTGAGGCCACGCACAGCAGGTCTCAGCAGGGAGCTCATGTGGAATTTCTACCCCCAACCTCCCAATGAGAATGCAGTTCTGTCCTTGTGGGCTCACTGAGGCTGTGATGACCACAAGTCTTCCTGCTGTCCTAGGGTGGGGACCAGCCACCCTATCCCAGATGCCTCAGACGGAGAGATAAGACAGCCCAGCCCAGGTGCTGGTGGCCCACCAAGCAACCCTCCGACATTCATAAGTCCCTATCATCCGGCAATGTGGCTCTGTAGGGGCAGTGAGGGGAGGGGTGGGGGCTGAGGCCTGGTCTGGGTGTGTCTGCAGACCCTTCCTAGTGTTGCACCACAATGTGGATGGCTTCTGGGGCCTAGGGGGAAAAACCCTACCAGGAACCCAGGACACCTTCCTGGAGGAGGAGAGAGGCCTCTGAGAACCCATTGCACCATAGCACTCTATCATCACAAGGGGCACACCCCACTTCTGCCCAGCTAGCTTCCCAGGGAGGTGCCAAAAGGTGGGGTGGGCTCACCCTTCTTGGTGAGATGGGGGGCTCGTCCCCAGTTCTCTAGGCCCCCAGCTTCCAGCCCTCCGTGATACTGTTGCCCTTTGCTGCCTGGCACATAGGGCCCAATTCATGTCTACTGAATGCAGAGAGGTGACCTGGGGGACACTCAGAAAAGACGGAAACCCACTGTGGAGGCCCCACAGGCAGGGTGGAAAGGGCACAGGAATAGCCTGCTCTCCTCTCTGGGCATATGTCTGAGGCCACAGCAGGCCTAGGATTAGAGATAGGGCAGAAGGGTAGATAAAAGGTCTGCCCCAAGAAGGGGAACCACCTGGGCCCCTGCTTTTTCAGAAGTAGCTTGCTTGCTGTAGGTGGCATCAACAGGCCTAGGGCTGGCAGAGCTCCCTTCTCAGGAACTGAGTGGTCTTGGAATAGTCTGGTAGAGCCAGGGTAGAGCAGGCCAGGGGCAAGGTCAGGGTGCAGGGAGGCTCCCAAGCCTCTCTATATGGCCACTGCACATCAGACCTGGATGAGCAGCCCCCTGAGCCCATATCCCACTGCCAGGACGCATGGCACCTCCCTGGTGTAGGGCCAGCCAAGGTCAGCATGGGCCATAAGTGGGACAGGGTGAGGTAGAAGCCCCCTCCCCCCTAAACCTAGAACTCTAGGTTCTAGAAAAGAGGAAGAAAAAAATAGTGCTTGGCTGAGTGGGGCCAAAGTATCCAACGGGTTGTGTTCACAGGAACAGCCACATCACGGGCCCTCTGAAATCATACCCAAGTAAGCCACCAGCCTCAGCTATAGCAGGCCCAGGTGCTGTGGCAGCCAGCAGAGGAGCCTCCAGAGAGGCAAGAGACAGAGCGTCAGGGTTGATTTCAATTTCTTCAAAAATTTTTTCTCTAATTTTCCTAAGTTCCTCACAGAAACTATACATTGCTTTTAAAGTTCAAAAAGAACACTGAATTGAACCAAGAAGTGAGAAAATGTGCTAGACACCCCCCACCAAGGGTCTCTAAGAACAAGGAAGAGGCTGGGCACACCCTTCCAGAAGCCTCAGCAGCATGCGCCCCTTGGATCAGGCTCCCCAGGCCACCCACCAGCCACCCCTCTCTGCCCTACCCCAGTAGCATCTAAGCAACAAGAATACACCGGTTTGCCCAAGCCAGAAATAAGCCCATCCACACAGGGCTTTTTTAAACGCGTTCTTGGCAGCCTGCAGTGCCCACCCAGCCCCAGCCTCCAGGTAGAAGAGCTCTCCAGCCTCCATTAGCACCCAAGCGGACTTGCTGTGCACATGGCGGCCACCCTCACTCTTCCTAGGCAGCTCCCGCCCAACCCCACACCAGGCTCACACATTCAGGGGCCAGGCTGCCGAGGAAGAAGCAGCCGGCACTCAGGCCACCTGGTCTGTGCCCTAGCCACATGGACTTACAGAAGGGGCAGTTGGTTGAAGGTCTGCAAACTTAAGCCTGGAGCCCCCAACCCTTCCTTGTGCCAGAAAGAGCCCTGGGATGACCCCATTGGCCACAGAAGGAGGCTGAGCTGTCAGCTTGCCATTCTGGTCTACAAGCCAGCCTGTGCCTTCAGTGAAGAAGTTGAGGCTAGAGGGGTCCAGTGCCCTGCTGGCCTGGTTGCTTCCTCCTTGTGGCTGGAGGCCTGGCCTCAAAGGTGCAGGTGCCCTCCATGGCCAGGCCACTGTGGGGCTGTGCAAAGTTCTGTCCCCGTGTAAGGCCTGACCTGGCCCTCCAGCTACAACGACCACCAAGCCTTCCTAAGGAAATCCAAGAGCCAGGCCAGGGTCACCAACGGCCAAGAGGCAGGCATGTGGCAACCAGGCCAGGCCACACCTACGTGGGAACAACTTGGCTCTGCCCTGGGGCAGACAGCGGAGAGGGCACAGAAGCGCCCACGACTGCCTGCAGTGAGGGCAGCACTCTTGGACGACCCACGTCCCCCTGTGTGCCCCATGGGAGGGAAAGCTGCAGCCACACCCTAGGCAGCCTGGCCTACTCCCCTGTCAGGGCTAGAGCTCCCACCCAGGGCCTCTGGGCACATTCCTGAGGTGTCCAGCCAGCACTAGCATCCCCACACAGGACTCACCTGACCCTGGTGCTCCGGGACGCCTGCACCAGCTACAGCAACCCAGGCCAGAGTGAGGGCTCACGATGCTTACAGCCAGCGCCCCGCCCAGCCCGCCCCATCCCTGTCCCCTGTCCTCTGCCCTCTGTCCTGTCCAGCCCGGCCCACCCGCCGCTGTCCCCCGGCCTGGAGCCGTGCGGGGTCCTGCCCCTCGCTGCCCCTGCGCCACCCGTGCCCTGGACGCGGCGCAGACTCACGTGAACACGAAGAAGAGAGTGCTGGAACCGACCAGCAGCCCGGCGGCCGTGGCCACCGGGATGTACTTGGCGGGTTTGAGGCGCGTCCCGGGGCTGCGGGGCATCCTGGGCGCCGCGCCGCCGCATCCCTCCCCGGGGCCGGGCGGGCGGGGCCGGCCGGGG